CATGTATAAATATAAACACCGTAATTGAGGCACAAAGTACTGGGTAGAATGTAGGTGACAGAACTGAAAAGAAGAATTCCTTTTTATTGGATATATCAGGTGCCAAGACGTTTGCATAATAGCTCCTTTTGCTGTTTTCCCATTCAATTGCATCTGAGTCATTTTATTTTTTATATTTAATGTGGGAAATGACTCATTCAAGCCCCATTTCAGAGGACTTGTTTACTCACTTGCGATATGCTTGTAACAGAGCCTCATACATAGCAAAGGCTCAACAAGTCTGCTATTATTAATCACACACATTTTTTATAGATTCTTCCTTGTTGTCAACTTCTTAGATGCTGTAGTTTGTCATGACTGTCCATGACCCCCTCTTCTTTTTAGAAACCCTCCCCAAATTGTTGCCTCTATTCTCAATGCTTCAGCTGACACCTATGGCTCCTCAATTTATATTTCCAGATAGGTATTCAGCAAATGCCAATTCAATTATTCCCAAACATTCACAGAAATGTAAAACTAGAGCTACTCATTAGATATGGTGGTGCACTGAATGTTCAGTAGTGCTGCTACAAAATAACACATTTTCGTGTTTCTCAAAAACATGATCCTTATCCCTGTTGCCTATGTAGCCACTTCACAAAACAAGTTAGAACAGACATAACCCCTGTCATCAGGGAACTGAATAGCTAAAGCATCGTGATTGGATTCACTCAGTGTTTTAATAAAATTACCCATGGTCCAATTCTCCTGTCCTTATTTTGCTACTGATGAAATCCCAGGATAGTACCAAAGCGTTGCCTTTTTTCACTCTGTTGCACTAATGTCTGCTGTTTTTTCCACACTCTAATCCTTTAATCATACCTTTGGGATACTAGAGTGTAGTAAATCATTTAGGACTACCTAACGCAAAGGATCAGCAAGCTATTCTCTGAAGTATATGGAGGCTAACAGTGTGGTTTATTTCCTCCTTGTCCCTCAAGACATCTTTGGTTTGTCCCAGTCTTCCAGGAGGCACCTTTGTTTGGAAGAAATCCCTGGAATGGGAAGCCTATCTATTCCTATCTTTCCATCAAAAGGGAAAGTTTTAGGAACTCCTAGGACTCAGGACTATGTTAGGTCATGATGTTATGGGACTGT